GCCCACCTGGGCTCTGGGCAAAATGCAAATGTTGGAGTTTGCAGTAACTTTTCAATCAATGCCCGGTGGAAGCTGACTCGGGGCAAGCATGGCTCTACTGGAGCAGGTGGTTACAACGACCCTCTGGAGTTGGCCATGCTCGGAGAAAGCCTTGAGCCACCAGGGTTTCCATTCCGTCCTTGTTCTGGAAACCCTGTTGAAGGGGCTGGGGAAGGGCAGGTGTAGGGACAGAGAGTGTGGCTGGTTAGTTTGGGACCAGGCCAGGGAAGAGCTGGGGCTTGATGGGAGACTCTGGAGACTACTGGGAACAGGTGCGAACAACTCAAGGGGTAGCAGGCTGCTTTGGCATGATGGGTTTGGCACAGGACTATGCTTTAATTTGGGGCTTTATGTGGCCTGCTGACCAGGCCATGGTCCTTGGAGGACAGGGGTGGGATTCTGGTGACCATTTTCTGGTCCCTCCCCAGGTCCCTTTGTACAAAGTAGGGGCCCAGGACAGCGTAAAACTACTTCTGATACTGGAAGAGATGTGGACATGGCAGGTGTGTCATCATCGGTCACACACTAGGGACAGACATCCAGAGAGGTAGGCAGGTGCTTCGTGTCACTGTATATTGATACTCAGAACCTGTTTGGTCTTTCTGCCCAGGTAGAATCACCTAAGATAAACACGCACACATATACACACACACCATGCACAACACATATGCGTGCTCGTACACATATTCATACCCACACATCACCTCATACATAGGTGCTTATGTACACACATGTACACACATGCACACATATGCATATATACAGAACTACCATGCTCATACACATGGACAAACATATAAGTATACACACATGTACACCAGGCAACATACATACATATGCCAGATACATGCTTACATATGTAGAGGCCTACATGTATACATACTTGCATACACACATGTACACAGCATACATGCACACTTTCATACACACACACACATGCTCTCAGACTTGCATATACATGTTATACTCCCCTATGTACTCTCAACATGGGTATATATGCAAATACACATACAATATAGACATATTCACACAAATATACATACCACATAGACAGACAGACATGCATACCCTGACTCTATGACTTTCCCTAACTCACTCAGAAGGTCTGACAAGCTCTCCTGGATTGGGATTCTGGAGGGGAATTGGGGGGCCGCAGCCCACCAAACCCTGTGGGGGAGCTACCATGGTGGGGACTGCTGTGTCTCAGGAGGCCTTGGGCATAGAATTTGTGCTGGTCAGGGTCAGAGAAAGGTGCCCGGAAGGGAGAGGGTAGGCGGGTGTCGCCTCAGCCCGGGATGTGGTTAGGCCATGAGCAGCCTGCTTCCCAAAACCAGAATAGCCCAGAACTTACACAACCCACACCCCTAAACAATCTGGCTGCCTTGCCCGCCTCTTCTGTAAGCTTCACAGATTTCCTGGCTCCCTATTGCTCACACAGCAACCCTGAGCCCACTCTGTGTCCCCCAAATGTCAGCCTAGGCTCCAATCTCACAGTGTCAACTTACTGATCTTTCAGCAAGTCTAACCCATGCCTGACCCACTGACCTCATGAACCTGCTCACCCTTGATTCATCCCTGACGCACTCAGGCAACTCCCCTGGACCCCACCTTTTTCCTTCCCAGAACCTCTCTGTGACCCCTTCTTTCTAGAATGCCAACAGTGCTAAAAAATTAAAAAAAAAAAAAAGGAGCAGACGCAGGGAGGGAAAATGAGTCAAGAGTGGGGTGCCATGGGTGGGCAGCTTCCTGGGGTCCCTGCTCACTCACTCCCAGACCCCACCATCTCTCCCAGGACCTTCTTCCCAGTCTCTAGTGCAGCTTCCCCCAGTGGGACAGAAACCATTTCAATCTCATGGAAGCTTTCCACCTCCACTGGTCCCTGTCCCACTTCTGCCCAGCTCGGGGACCACCATATCAAAAGGCCTATCTTGAGTCCTTAATGTCATTTGCTACCCTGTGTGTTCCAATTACAGATTTCTTCACCAACTACCGCCCCCCGCAGATGCCCACATCTTCGAACTTCCTGGAGCCACCCAGCTTTGGCCCCATGGCTGACTCCCTCTTCAGCAGTGGGATCCTGGGCCCAGAGATGCCATCTCCAGCCTCCTCTTCCTCCTCCCCAGGGACTACCCGCCTACAGGTGAGTGTATCCTGTTATGAGAAGCCTGCCTAGATGGGACAGGAATGTGTGCATGGAAGGAGGATGGGAGTGTGTGTTTAGGCAACTAAGTTGGCATCTTATTTCTAGAACACCTGTACCTGGTTCAGAAGTCATTACCCTGCAACTGTTAGGGTCCTGTTCCAGTTTCATTTCTGTTGTTATGCTAAAATACATTGAGGAAAAGCAAGTAAGAAAGAGAAAAGGGGTTTCTTTCAGCTAACAGCCCCAGGTTACATACAGTCCACCAGTGTGGGGAAGTCAAGGCGGGAACTTCAGTCACACCACATCTACAGTCAAGAGCAGAGAAGAACAATTGCCGGCATGCTCGCCTGCTTACTCATGTTCAGCTCCATTTCTTTTCTCTGACACAGTTCAGGATCCCCTGCCTAGGGAATGGTGCCACCCACAGTGGGCTGGGTCTTTCCATATCATGGAATCCCCAATAGACATGCCCACAGGCCAACCCAATGTTGGTGGCTCCTCGCTGAGACTCTTCCCAGGTGGTCCTAGGTTGTTGACAGTTAATACTAACCACCCCAGTGTCCTTTTCTCCTATCATGGAACTTTTCACATGCTTTTGTAGTTTATTGTGAGAGGTCTCTTTCCTCCGATGGGCTTGGTGGGGCTGTTTTGGCCACCACTACATTCCTTGTACCTAGTGGTTTCCACACACAGAGTGTCATTCAATAAATGGTTGCCTGGTGAGTGAGTGAATGAGAACACAGTAAATGGAGAGACCATTATAGCCAGTGGTGTCTGCATATGAGGATTAGTGGATGTAAAGTAAAAGGGTCTGGTGAGTAGCTGGGCTGATGGGTGGATTCCCACGTAAGTAGTTTAGTAGATTGATTGAATGAACCATGGGCTGGCGCTACATGGCTTTGTGAATGGATGAATGATTTGTTACATCAGTGGGTGGTGAATGTATAGATGGGGTGTGGATGGGTTGATGGGAGAATAAAGAGTTTAGACGGTTGGATCTGTTGGTAAATGGCTGACTACCTGTGGGCTAGAGTGGTAGTTAGTCTCTCATCACTGCTACACCTAGGAAAACAACCTCAGGGAAAGAGGTATTTTGCTCATGGATTCAGAGGCTTGAGTCTATCATGGGGGAGGAGGTGAAACAGCAGAGAAGCTAGGAAGTAAAGACAGAGAGACGGGTGCTGGGGAGGAAGGGTGCCTTCACTAGATGACTTCAACCACCACGTGCCATGTATTCATCTGAACTCCCAAATGATCAACTTCGTCCACGGTGTGCTCCCCACCCCAATCAATGAACTTACATCCACAGTGTGCCCCCCACCCCAAACAATGAACTTACATCCACAGTGTGCCCCCCACCCCAAACAATGAACTTACATCCACAGTGTGCCCCCCACCCCAATCAATGAACTTACATCCACGGTGTGCCCCCCCCTCCCCTCTCAGCTCATTTCTGCCCGTGCCCCCCACCCCAATCAATGAACTTACATCCACGGTGTGCCCCCCCATCCCCTATCAGTTACTTTGTCCCTTGCTATGACAAAACAGTTGGCAAAAGCCACCTAAGGAAAGATTTCTCTTCTTTTTGGTGTGATTTTCAAGATAGGGTTTCTCGATGTAACAGCCCCGGCTGTCCTGGAACTCACTTGTAGAACTGGTTGGCCTTTAACTTACTGAGATTCACCTGCCACAGCCTCCTGAGTGCTGGGATTAAAGGCGTGCACCACCATGTCCAGCACAAATGGTTTCTTTTGGACCATGATTTGAGGGATAAAGTGGAGAAGGCATGACAGTAGCACCACAGGGCAGCTGGTCACACTGTGTCAGGGAGCAGAGAGGAGAATGCTGGTACTCAGCCAACATGCTTATTTTATTAGATGATGATAATGGTGGTGTGTGTGTCTGTGTGTGTTTATGTGTGTACAGGGGCACGAATGCCATAGTATGCATACAGAGGTCAGAGAACAGCGTGAAGGTAGCAGCTCTTTCCTTGCACCATTGCACCATGTGGTCCCAGGAACTCAAGTCAAGGCTTGGTGATAACTGTTCTACCCACTGAGCCATCTTACCAGTCCCCCTTACTACTTTAAAAAAAATAATTTATTTTAAATTGTGTGTACATTGGTGTGAAGGTGTCAGATTCCTGGAATTGGAGTTATAGACAGTTGTGAGCTGCCATATGGGTGCTAGGAATTGAACCCAGGTCCTCTGGAAGAATAGTCTGTGCTCTTAACCACTGAGCCATCGCTCCAGCCCCCATACTTACTATTTTTTTTTTTATTTATTTTGTGTGTGTTCACAAGTGAGTGTGAGTGGTGTGTCCATGTGGAGGTCAGAGAATAACTTTCAGGAGTTGGTTCTCTCCTTCCCCCATGTGAGTTCCTGGAGTCAAGCTTAGCTCATCAAGCTTGGTGGCAAGCACTTTAAGTTTCTGGGCCATCATGCTGACCCACTTTTTTCTTTTTATTCAGTCTGGGATCCACCCCATGGAATGGTTCTGCCCACACTCAGAGTGAGTCTTCTATCTCAATTAACCCTCTCTGGAAACATAATCAGAGACACACCTAAGAGTGTGTTTCACTAATGCACTACCCATGTCTTTTTCTGAGAGGGGTTGAGACAAGGTTTCTCTGTGTAACAGTCCTGGCTGTCATGGAACTTGATTTGTAGACCAGGCTGGCCTCCAACTCACTAAACTCCGCCGGCCTCTGCCTCCCAAGTGCTGGGATTAAAGACATGGGCCACCACCACATGTCACACTACCCATGTGTTAATTGAATCAAACGGACCATGGAATTTAACCAGCACACCCCACCCCCTTAGTTTATCCACTCTGGAAATGCCCTCAACAAAACATCAGTGTACCCACCTCACCAGTCTCCTAGGCATTCCTTAGCTCTGTCATCCGGATTAACCATCACATCTGGATTGAAATAGAGACATGGGTGAGTTCATAGATGAGAGAATAACTAGGTAAATGGATGCGCAAGATGATGGATGGACAGGTGCATGGACAGATGGATGGATGGACAGATGGATGGATGGATGGATGGATGGATGGATGGATGGATGGATGGATGGATGGATGGATGGATGGATGGATGGATGGATGGATGGATGGATGGATGGATGGATGGATGGATGGATGGATGGATGGATGGATGGATGGATGGATGGATGGATGGATGGATGGATGGATGGATGGATGGATGGATGGATGGATGGATGGATGGATGGATGGATGGATGGATGGATGGATGGACAGGTGGGTGGATGGATAGTACATAGAATAATGGGCAAGTTAGTGGAGGTGGACAGGTAGACGGGTGGGTGGAGGGATGGCTGGATAGACAGACAAATAATGAAGAAATGAGAGGATTGGTGAATGAGTTCATGTTTTGATGGATAAAAGGAAGGATAGACTGGTGGATAATTAGCAGATAGATAAATAAATGAAGACTAGATTAATAGCTGTATTGGATAAACTATTTGGTGGGTGAATGGATCACAAGTCATCAGTAAGACTGATGTGTTGTGTCTGATTTGTGCATAAGTTTATACTAGCTTACAGTTGTGCATTAGATAGTAATTTCTAGGGTGTGTGTGTATGCCTGTGTGTATACATGTGTGTGCATGTATATGGATTAGCTCTCCTCTGTCCTCAGTACCCAGTCCAGTACATAGCAAGGACAGAAGCTTCCTGGTGGATGCAGGCAGGTCCCGCCCCGGTCTCTCATCATCCTGTCACACACCCCTCCCTGCCCCTCACCTAGGTTCGGAACAGCTGCCCGGGACCCTTGGACCCCAGTTCCTTTTTGAGCTCTGACTTCCTTCTTCCTGAAGACCCAAAGACCAAGATCCCACCTGCTCCTGTGCCAACTCCTCTCCTTCCATATCCCACCCCTGACAAGGCACAGGGCTTAGAGCCCTGCACCCCAACTCCCTTCCCTACAATGGCTCCACCTCCCACTTTGTTGCCAGAAGAGCCCTTCTTCTCCACCAGGCTCCCCTTCACCACAATCCCTCCTGCCCCAGGAGTGCCTACTCTTCATACCCCCACCTCCTTTGTTCCCACCCCACAGCCTGGCCCTGGTGCTGCTCCTTTCTCTGTAGACCATCTGCCCCATGGGTACCCAGAACCTGTCTTTAGGCCTCACTTCACCATGCCTCAGGATATACAGCCCAGAGGCAAGCCCTCCACCCCATCCCCTGGTGGACGGAAAGCCAGTGCCCCGACCTTGGCGCCTACCACTGCCAGCCCCACTGCCACTGCCACTGCCAGAGACAACAACCCCTGCCTCACGCAGCTTCTCAGGGCAGGTGAGATGGGGAACTCGAATGGACAAGTTGCTGGGAGGGACCAACTCTGAAAGGAATGGGCAGGCTCTTGGGGCTGAAGGCTAGGGTTTTAAGGTGGGTCTGGGGGACAGAGAGAGGGTGGAATGACATTAGGGACTTGAGCTATGTCTGATAGGGGTGTGTGGGCTGCTAGGGAACAACAAGGGGTCTTAATTGGTGATGGACTTGATTGGGCCAGTCTAGTGGCCCTCATAGTCCTGCCTGTACCCAGCCAAGCCTGAGCAAGCACTGGAACCTCCGACTGTGCCCAGCACCCTCCTCCGGCCCCCAGAGTCCCCGGTAAGATGGTGGACACTGGGATGTAAGGGTCAGTCTAGGGCCTTTACCCCTACTCACTACTCTTCTCCATTCCAGCAGGATACAGTCTCTGAACTCCTCCGAGCCCGTGCCTTCTTTCCCCCAATCCCAACCCCTACACCACCTCAGCCACCTCCAGGCCCAGCCACATTGGCCCCTCCCAGGTCCCTGATTGTCCCCAAAGCAGAGCGGTTGTCACCCCCAGCACCCAGCGGTAAATAGGGGCTAGAGGGATTGTGGGTCTTAGAGGAAGGAGGGAGATGAAAAATGAAGGGGCTGTGACTGGGGTCAGGATGACAGGGATGGGGCGAGGGGACCTTCTCTTTTGTGTCGGTCTGTCTGTGGGTCTGTCCCTGCCACAGGCAGTGAGCGGCGATTATCAGGGGATCTCAACTCCATACCACCCCCGGGGGCACTGAGTGTCCACCTGTCTCCCCCTCAACCTATCCTAAGCCGGGGTCGTGTAGACAACAACAAGGTATGTTCTGTCTCCTGACCCCCCAAGATGCAATTGCTACCAATCTTACCCCGGCTTTCCTTAGATTCATCTCACTTTCTGCTTTCCAAGATGGAGAACCGACGCATCACACACATCTCTGCGGAGCAGAAGAGACGTTTCAATATTAAGCTAGGATTTGACACCCTTCATGGACTTGTGAGCACACTCAGTGCTCAGCCCAGCCTCAAGGTGAGCCCCCAGCCAGAGATGCACACTCCCTTAGAGTCATGGAGCCCCTCCTTGGACCAACACCCAACACCAGATCCCAGGGCCTGCCAGCACAGAGGCCCACACTGGTGGCGCTCGCAGGTGAGCAAAGCAACAACGCTGCAGAAGACTGCCGAGTATATCCTGATGCTGCAGCAGGAACGGGCAGCCATGCAGGAAGAAGCACAGCAGCTGCGGGATGAGATAGAGGAGCTCAATGCTGCCATCAAGTAAGCAGGGTGAAGCTCAGCAGAACACCTGCCTAGAATTCCCCAGTGAGGGGCTGGGGGCGTAGATCAGAGATAAAGTACTTTCCTAAAAATCTACTAGTACAGGCTTGGGCACATGCCTAGAATCCTCCTGTGAGGGATGAGACATGGTTTGTGGTAGGGTGCTGGCATAGCATATGCAAGAACTGGATTCCATCTCCAGCGCCTTAAAAAAAACAAAACAAGGCTGGTGGTAATGATGTATGCCTTTAATCCCAGCACTCGGGATTTGGAGGCAGGTGGATCTCTGACTAGCCTGGTCTACAAAGCAAGTTCCAGGATAGCCAAGGCTACACAGAGAAACCCTGTCTCAAAAAATCAAAGGAAAAAAAAAAACAGTACTGAAGAACTGGGGTAAAGGAGACATGCCCTCACACTGCCTGACTCTTTCCATCCATAGCTTATGCCAGCAGCAGCTACCAGCCACTGGGGTGCCCATCACACATCAGCGCTTCGACCAGATGCGGGACATGTTTGATGACTATGTCCGGACCCGAACACTGCACAACTGGAAGTTCTGGGTAGTATCCTTACTTGGGCTGATGGCCTGAGGGTGGCAATGGCTGCTGTTGCTGCAGACCAGGTTGTGTATTAGACCACAGGCTGAGCTGTAGGGCCCCAGGGAATGGGCTTTGGTTCTACCTTCTGTTGTCAGGCCCTGGGGTTGCAATAATGTATGTCAGCTGGGACCTGGAGCTGAGAGGGTGGGCGGGCAGGATAGGCGGTTGGGAGAGGTCCCTGAGGCAGTCTGGAAGTCGTGTGAGGCCTAGAGAAGGCGGGGCAGCCACTATTTTCTGGACCCAGTGTTGTGTTTGGTTTCCCACACTAGAGCCTGAACAGGAGCTCTGTCCCAGCCCTCTTTTAACTTTTTATTTTGAGACAAATTTCACTAAGTTGGCCAGGGTAGCCTTGAACTTGTGATCTTCCTGCCTCAGCCTCTGAATAGCTGGGATTACAGGCCTGTGCCATCAGGCCTGTATTTTTATGACCGAGCCTAGAGATGTGGGATGGACTAATACAGAATGAGGGCTCTAGAGGGACTAAGGGGAGGGACTGAGAGAGAGATGATTGAGCAACCCTTATCAGGGAGGGATTGGAGCAGTGGCTCTTCATAGGGTTCACGGTTAGACAGTGACAGGCTTTTCTTAGCACTGGCTTCGGTAAGGTGTTGTAGCTGTATGTGTGGTGATGGGGTGCTGTTTGGGCTACTGGTGTGTTCCTTGACTCCAAGCCCAGTTCAGCATACTCATCCGGCCTTTGTTTGAGTCCTTCAATGGGATGGTGTCTACTGCAAGCTTGCATAGCCTCCGCCAGACCTCGCTGGCTTGGCTGGACCAGTACTGTTCCCTGCCTGCTCTCCGGCCAAGTACGTGAGCCACCTTCCTGTCCACTAATGTGTGAGGCCTTGAAGAGCACCTGCCTAGAATCCCCCAGTGAGGGGCTGGGGTGTGGCTCAGTGGTAGAGCACTTGCCTAGAATCCCCCAGTGAGGGGCTAGGGGTGTGGCTCAGCAGAAGAGCACTTACATCATCATGCACAAGACCCTGAGTTTAATCTCCAGTAACACATACAGAGACTTGTGGGCCTTCAGAGCAGAGAGTTCAACCCAGCCTGCTTGGTCCCCAGCCTAGGGTTTGAGGCCATTCCACCATATGGTCCTTTAGTATCTAAAACACCTAAAGAAAGGTCCTGGGAAGAGCCACCTGTTTAGCTGACTAGTCTTCCCCGGGTTCTTGACTTCACCCCTAACTTTGAAGGCCTCTCACCCTCTTCTTCTAGCTGTCCTGAGTTCCCTTCGCCAGCTCAGCACATCCACCAGCATCCTGACCGACCCAGGCCGTGTGCCTGAGCAAGCCACACGGGCAGTCACAGAGGGCACCCTGCACAGACCATTCTAAACCTGGTGAAGGCTCCCAAGCTCCAGGGACAACTCATGGGCACTCCCCTCTTGATCCTGGCTGGCCCTTTCCCTGAGTCGAGCACCTCCTGTGGATGGAGAAGAAGCCGATTCCCATCTCTGCACTGCACTAATGCTGTGATCCCTGGTGACTCTTACTCCATCTTTGGACCTCCATTTAATAATAGAGGACCCCCAAAGCCATTAGTAACTGTAACACTGGGGACCTAAGCAGGCCACTCAGGGAGCTCTGAGGAGAGATGAGGTCGAGCTGTTTCCTTATGACTCCCTGCTTTGGACAAAGGACACCACCCTTAGTTCCTCAGCAGAGAGGCAGAACAGGAGACCCCCCCTCTTTGCCCCTGCACTGGTGACATGGGGAGCTGCAGGGTGACTTCCTGGGTGGCCACTGAAGTCTGATGTCAGGAGAGATCAGGGCAAGGGCAGGCATCTTGCATATATGTAGATGTATGTGTGCATATGTGGATTTTATAAAAAATATTCTTAAACAATAAAAGCAAAAACTGTCTGCAAAGGTGTTGGTATGATGGCAGCATGTCTCACTGTGGCACACAGAACTGGTAGCAGTGAAAGGTGGCTTTATATGGGACCCTGTGAGTCATAAGACAACCTTTAAGTGCTTTTACATTTGTTTGTGTGCAGAGGCACTCCACTGTATTTGGGTATCTTCCTCATTGCTCTCCACCTTCTTTTTAAAATGTTTCAAACTATGTTTTAGGACTGGGCATAGTGATGCATACCTTTAATCCCAGAACCTGAGAGGCAAAGGCAGGTAGATTTTTATGAGTGAGACCAGCCTAGTTTTGTAGTGAGTTCCAGGCCAGCCAGAGCTACATAGTGAGACCTAGTCTACATACATACACACATGCATACAGTTACATATATGTATTATATTTGGGTTTTTTGTTTTGTTTTTAGTTTTTCGAGACAGGGTTTCTCTGTGTAACAGCCCTAGCTGTCCTGGAACTAGCTCTATAGACCAAGCTGGCTTCAAACTCACAGAGATCTACCTGCCTCTGCCTCCTAAGTGCTGTGATTAAAGCCACGTGTTACACCGACTGGTGGGGGAATATTTATTTATTGATTGATTGATTTGGAGACAGGGTCTCTCTCTGTAGTCTCAGCTGTCCTGGGACTTGCTATGTAGACCAGGCTGTTTTCTAACTCATAAAGATCCTCCTGCCTCTGCCTAAAAATATTTTAAATTGGGCTGGAGAGATGGCTCAGCGGTTAAGAACACTGACTGTTCTTCCAAAGGTCCTGAGTTCAATTCCCAGAAACCACATGGGGGCTAACAACCATCCATTATGAGATCTGGTGCCCTCTTCTGGTGTGCAGATAAACATGGAAGCAGAATGTTATGTACATAATAAATAAAATCTTTTAAAAAATTTTTAAATTACATTTATATATGTGTACACACACACCCTTTCCATCATGCAAGTTATGGGGAGTAAACAACTCATGTCATCAAAGCTGACAGCAAGTGCCTTTGCTAGCCAAGCCATTTCACCAGCCTCTGCCTTATTCTTTGAGATCGAATCCTTCACTGAACTCACCACTTTGGCTTGGCTGGGGTGGGAGGGGCAATAAGCCCCTGAGATCTACCTGTCCCTGCCATCCCAGCAATGGGGTTACCACTCCTGGCTTTTTGTATCTTTGACTTAAGTTTATCCTTTAACTGCTGAGCCATCTCTCCAGCCCCACTCCTGGCTTTTACATGGGTCCTTCGGTTATGAACTCAGGTCCTCATGTTGACACACTAAGCACCTGTAACTACAGAGCCACCTCCCCAGCCTGCCACCTTTGCTTTCGCTGAGAGGTGGAAGCTACTGGCAGGTTTGAGGTAAAGATAAGACAAAACTCAGTGCAAGTTTGTCTTTTTTCCTTTTAAAAAAGTTTTGTTTTGAATTATGTGTGTCAGTCTGTGTATATGCACATGAGTGCAGATAACCGTGGAGGCCAGAAGAGGGTCTGGTTTCTTCTGGAGGTGGAGTTCCTGAGTATTGCGAGTTGTCACATGTGAGGGTTAGGGAACCAGCTCAGGACCTGTGCAAGAGCAGGTCCCACTCTTAACAGCAGAGTTCTCTCCTCACTGAATTTTCTCCTTAATAAAGGGTCCAGCTGTTTATCTTTTTTTATTAAAAGATTTTATTTATTTATTATGTATACAACATTCTGCTTCCATGTATATCTGCACACCAGATCTCATTACAGATGGTTGTGAGCCACCAGGTGGTTGCTGGGAATTGAACTCAGGACCTCTGGAAGAGCAGTCAATGCTCTTAACCTCTGAGCCATATCGCCAGCCCATGTTTATCTTTTTTTAAATAGGTTTTTAAGATTTTTTATTTATTATGTATACAATGTTCTGCCTGCATGTATGCCTGCAGGCTGGAAGTGGGCACCAGATCTCATTATAGATGGTTGTGAGCCACCATGTGGTTGCTGGGAATTAAACTCAGGAGCTCTGGAAGAGCAGTCAGTGCCCTTAACCTCTGAGCCATCTCTCCAACTCCCCCAGCTGTGTATCTTAAGCTGATTGAAAGCCTCCTGCTGAAATTATATGGGTGTGCCACTATACCCAGACAGATGTATTGAGGATGGATCCTAGGGCCTCACATAGGAAATCTGCCTGTCTTCAGTTGGTATGGTGGGATTGTGCCAATAAGCCCAGGTCCAGGGGGACCTTTTTTTTTTTTTT